CATTTTCGGGCGTTGTGCTCGAAGATGGTCGTCCAGAACGCTCGTCATCATGGACAGAGGTTCGGCCATTTTTAAAACATGAATGCCACATAAAAGTTTGTGAACTACCCATTGCGGACTCCCCAAATGCTTGCTTTAGCATTTCATAGGTTTCCGTAGCCGTTTTGGCGAGTCTTTGGCAAAATTTGATGCACACGCCATTCCGAAATCGCAGGAGGGTCGGTGTAATGCACTACCAAAACGCCCGTAACTAAGAAACAAATGCTAATTCGATGATGCCGGCTGGCACACTGATTCACTATGAATGTAGGCCGCACCCCCTAGCGGCAGAAGATCGTACTACATCCGGTTCGCCCTCTATTGACACAGTCTTGAAACTTTCCGATCGCACCTCGTGTATGTAAATGGATTTCTACATGTAAATTAGTTAAATGCATTTGTTTTAAAATCAAGTCTTGAAGCTAGACAAGAAAGCGAACACCACGACTCTGATAAATTATTTTTGTTGTCGCTCCTGGATGACTTCAAAATAATACCAGACTACTGCAAAAGTACGACTAAAATTGAACTGATCGAGTTGATTCAGAGTTATCAACCGCAACTTGTTTTCTCATCACACCATTCACAACGTGGTTATTATTCTACCTCCTATCCGGACAGGCCGTCAACATCAGACCACTCCTTGGAGAATTCTGCTGTATCGCCGGGTTCAGACTAGGTGGAGATATTTAAATGAATAATTAAAATAAATTTTGCATACCTTAAAGTGACCATGAGTTTTTCTTCAGGGCGTATGCTCTGGCGAAAATTTGTATCCGTTCCTTCTATTTCCTCCCTGATCAGTTGTAACAGTTGGTCGAACGACTTCACACTCATTCTCGTGTAGTTGAAAAACTTCTCGTCGTACAGCAGATGGAATGCGCCTTTTGTGGAACGTTCCAAGAACATGGGATGTATGCAGTATCAAAGACTTCGCTTTTTCCCACGACGGACATGATAGAACAGTAGGGGCTGCTCTCTCTTCAACCTCCATTTAAATACTGATAAATGCTTGTCGCGCGTAGTCGCCGCGATTAAAAAACCGCGTGCGACATGTCGCACGCGACTTCATAAATCGCGTGCGACTAGCCGCTAGTCGCGCCAGTGGGTCCCTAGCCTAAAAGCACAGAGCAACCCGAATAAATGGGTCGAATTGAAATAAGACGAGAAGTAGATGACAGAGGAGTAGATGAGGTTGCCATTATCGTGGAGCAGTTAGGAACGAGCTTTTACTGTGGGTTAAGTCTTGGCATGGTGCTTGGACACAGGGATAGTTTTACCTTTGACCGCAAAGAATCACGGGTTAGTTCCTTACCGGACAGGATTCAAACGCGAGGCAGATACGTCATTGCCGTGACTGCCCTGTGGTGTTGCTCCTTCATGCCCAGTATGTTTCGCGGTCGAATCTCGGGCCCAGATATCGATTATAGTCTTTCGACCACGACCACTTCCACTCTAATCGTACGGACGTTCCGTGTCCATAAAAGCAGGCCAGGGTCATAACTTCACATTCATCATAAGAGGAGAGCTCTGTGATAACGCGTTATCGAACGGCCTAATGAGTGTTCTGTTTGGCCAACTCCCCGTTTTGGCTCGAGAAAGCATGGAAGCTTTAAGAACTGTGTTTTATTTTTATAAGACGCGACACGACACGCGCATAGGAAGGTAATGTTGTTGTTACCCTAGCCGATTGGCAATTGCCCTGCGTATACGCCAGTAAACGCGTTATCCTGACTTGTTTTTGTAGCTGGCCGCGGACTTCGCGTGGCGATGGCAACGCCTGCCATAGGAC